GGCCTTCGGTGCAGCTCCCTATGAGGCCACAAAACTTGTGAGGGGTGTGCCGAAATGGAGGCGGATACCGCATGCGAACCTTGCCACTGAGGTCTCCAGTGGAGCTCCCTATGGGGCCATGAAACATGTGAGGGAGGCGGATACGGCATGCAAACCCTGCCTCTGGGGCCTTCGGTGGAGCTCTCTAAGACTCTATGAGGCCACGCCACATGGGAAAAGGCCGTTTTCGGCTTCGGTCCGTTTCGGTTATGGCCAGTTTCGGCTTCGCCGGTCTCTTTTGGCTTCGGCTCGTTTCGGCCTGGCCCGTTTCGGTTTCGGCCTGTTTCGTCCCGGTCCGTTGCGGCTCCTGTCCGTTTCGTCCGGCCCTTTTCGGCTCCTGCCCGTTTCGGCTCTGGCCAGTTTCGGCCTTCAAGTTCGCGCTCGCACCCCAGCCGGAAAGACGACACGGGCCGAAGGGCCAAAGCCGAAACGGGCGAAACCGAAACAGGCCGAAGCCAAAACGCGCCGAAGCCGAAACGGGTGGAGCCGAAACAGACCGAGCCGAAACGCGCCGAAGCCGAAACGCGCCGAAGCCGAAACGGGCCGAGGTCGAAACGGGCCGAAGCCGAAACTGGCCCGAAGCCGAATCGGGCCCTTGGCGTGCTTCGGCATCGGCGCGCGTCAGCTTCGGCCAGTTTCGGCTTCGCCCGTCGGCGCACCCTTCACACGCTGCGTGGCCCCCAAAGGAGCTCCACCGAAGGCCTCGGAGGGAGGGCTGGGCTCGCATGAGGTACCCGCCTCCAGTTTTGCGCACCCCTGCACCGAAGGCCCCAGTGGCATGGTTCGCACGCGATGCCCGCGTCCATCTCGGCACGCCCCTCCCAAGCTTCGCGGCCCCCTAAAAGTTCCACCGAAGGCCCCAGTGGCAAGGTTCGCATGCGGTATCCGCCTCCATTTCGGCACACCTCTCACACGCTTCGCAGACCCATAGGGAGCTACGCCGAAGGCCCCAGAGGCAGGGCTCGCATGCGGTATCCGCCTCCATTTCGGCACACCCCTCACAAGTTTCGTGGCCCGATGGGGCTACATCGAGAGCCCCAGTGGCAGAGCTCGCATGCGGTACCCGCTTCATTTTCGGCACACCCATCCATCACACGTTTCCTGGCCCGATACGGAGCTCCACCGAAGGCCCCAATGGCAGGGTTCGCATCTTCAGGCCCGTTTCGGCTTCGGACCCGTTTCGGCTTCGGCCCGTTTCGGCCTCAGCCCGCTTCGGCTTCGGCGCGCTTCGGCTCGGTCCGTTTCGGCTCCGCACGTTCCGGCTTCAGCCCGGTTCGGCTTCGGCCTGCTTCGTCGGCCCGGCTTGTGCGAGGCGAGTGCGCCAACAATCATGCACAATCGTGCAGCAACTTGCTCGGAATCATGAAATGAGCCTCTGGGGGTCCTCTTCGGATCCTCTCTCGGGCGTTGAAATGACCCGTTGGGACGTCGCGCGGCCATCGCGGGCAACCCGTGGAACGTCTCGGCTGTCGCCCGGGTCTCTTCGGGACCTCACGGGGTCTTCTTCGGCCGTCCTCGACCAGCCTAGGCCTTCCTGTGGCGCTCCAGACCCAGCCCCCTGGTCCGTCCACAAGTTGTGGCGGATCAGTGTTCTACCAGTTCGAGAATTTGTTGAGTTAGCACAGCTAGACATATACACGCATCGTCTTGAATGTCATCTCAGAGCCGTCTGGAATGAAGCGTCTTGGAAGCATCGAAGGTCGCCCGAGACGCCTATTGGAGCGTCGGAGACTCCTCGGAGCTTTCGTTGAGGCGTGAGGCGAGTCGGGCCTTTTTGAATGGTCTGAACGGCAATGCGCGCGCTGCGGGGGCCGGTCAGGGGCCCCCAATGAACGGGCCTTGGTTGCGGACAAGCGGTCTCTCAGAGGTATCTGGGGGTCTCTTGGGGTGCCTCTCGGGAAGCTCTTGGAGGGTCTTGGGGATCTCTTGGGGGCCACTTGGAGGTCTCTGGAAGCCTCTCAGGGCCTCCTGTCGGCGCCTTGGGGGCTGTGAGGGGCTCTGGGGCGGAAGGCTCCATGTCTTCTTCGCCCTCTGTGCGCCCTCTTGGGGCTGTCTGGGGTCGTTCTGGGAGCCTCCCTCGGAGGACCCCCCCCGTTTGTCAGGCGTCGCCTCGGAGTCGCCAGCCTCTGCAGGCTGCCGCACTCCGTCTTCGGCACATCCTGGCGCGGGGCCGCCGTCCTCCTTGAGAAGGGGCCCTCCTCGGCGAGCGCCCCCGTCCCCGCTTGCCCTCGCCTTGCGCCTCCTCGCCTGGCCTGCCCTCCGACCTCGCCGTCTCGAGGGGGGGGGGGGGGGGACGCAGCTGCGCGCGGCCCTCGGCGGCGAGCTTCGCCTCCTCGCGCGCTGCCTTGGCCTGCGCCCTGGCCGCCCTCTTGGCCTCGGCGCCTGGGCTGCTGCCCAGGGCGGCGCCGACGGGCACGAGGGCAAGCACGAGCTGCTGCCGTGGGGCTGCTGCTGCGGCCGG